TCTGAAATGTGTATTCTTGTTTTTCCCTCATGTGTATACTGTATTTATGCAAAGCTCTTGTTGTTTTTGTGTTTTCGCTTCATCTTTGATGTGTCGATGATCTGGAGTTTGTCTTTGTGCAGCGGAACCAAAAAGTCCTGTTCATATTAGCATCTTGACTAATTCGATAAATAGATCTTTTCCTAAGTAATGTTGTTATAACACGTATACTTCTTTTATTCTCCATATGTAGTCTTGGACAGCTATACCGTTACCCCGCAAAAAGCCCCGCTATCAAAAACGGCTTTGATACATCCTTCACTGAAACGGTGAAGGTCAGTTTTGCCTCTTGAGACACTTCAAATCTGAGCTCAAAAGAACAAATCTTGTTTGTTTTCAATACAATTATGCCAAAATAAAGCCTGTACCTGTTTCCCTGCTGCGCCTGGGCAAATCAGGGATCTGCCGAGGTCCCTCGGTGATGTCGTCGGACTACATATGTAGGCATACCCCTGTGACTTAAATGACAATTTAATCTCAGGCGCAACCTCATCAAACCCACTAAATACTCCGTACAAACCACAGGAAATATCATAATTCTCCAAAATGCAAGCCGTCGTTTTCAAGGGCCCGTTGAAGGTAGCCATCGAGCAAAGGCCCATCCCCCAGATCCAAGATCCAACAGATGTCATCTTGAAGGTGCGATACACTGCGCTATGTGGCAGGTAAGATATCAAGAAATATCTCTAACAGCACACAACCGCTCATATTCGCAAAGTGAACTCCATGTCTTTCGTGGTCACCAGAAGTCCGGCACAGAGTTTATCATGGGCCATGAGTTTACAGGCGAAGTTGTCGAGGTTGGATCGGGCATCAAGAACTTCCAAAAGGGAGACCGAGTAGTCTCACCCTTCACTGCGAGCTGTGGGGAATGTTTCTACTGTGAGCGTGGTTTCTCCTCTCGGTGCGCTCGAAGCCAGCTATTCGGTACTGTTGCACTTGACGGTGGACAGGCCGAGTACGTACGTATTCCACTAGCCGATTCGACTCTTGCCAAAATCCTAGCTTCAATCGACGAGAAGAAGCTGGTTCTTATGGCCGATATATTCCCGACTGGGTACTTTGCTTCTTTGAACGCTTTCTCTGGCACAACGCCGGAGGAGATTCAAAAAAGCACGGTACTCCTCTTTGGCTGTGGCCCTGTTGGTATCTGCGCACTTATTAGTGCACTGGATTACAAGCCGAAGACCCTGATTGCAATTGATAGTGTGCCTTCCAGACTAGCACTTGCACAGAGCCTAGGAGCCGAGCCTTGGAATTTCAAGGAGGACGAAGAAGGATTGCGCCAAAGGGTAAAGGATCTTACTGACGGTCGTGGAGCGGATATCGTTATCGAAGTCGTCGGACATAGTAGTGCTCTCAGGATGGGATTCGAGTTGTTACGGCCCTGGGGGCGTATATCGAGTGTGGGCGTCCACAATCAGGATATCCCGTGGACTGGGAATGAAGCCTATGCGAAGAACCTTCGTCTACAAATGGGTCGATGCCCTGTTCGGAGTATGTCTTCCATACCTACTTTGGTTATCTTGCTCACTTTTGTTAGGTATCTTTGGTCCGGCTATGGACCTCTTTGAAAAGAAGCAGGACATCCTCAAGTGAGTTTGGCCAATGTAATATTCGTTGCTTGGTATCTAATGATTTCTAGCTTCATGTCTCAAGATATCCGTCCGCTCTCACAGGCCGTTCAGGCGTAAGTTCTTCTTGTTCAGATCTTGATGCCCTATGATTGACCCTTCGTAGATATGACGATTTCGATAACATGCGGGCCCACAAGGTCATTTTTGAGGTGGATAAGTGAAGACTTGAAGAGACCTACTAAGTGAGCAAAAGCCGAAAATTCAGGAGTCATTCAAGTCTGATCTTGAGGATCTACGTCTGTGGCTTTTACACGGATCTCAGAGATGCCTCTATACTTGAACTGTATATGATAATTGTTTATGAGATTTGTCTTCAATTGTAATGTAAATGGTTTCTGCCCTTCGAAACGCCGTGCTAAATAGCACCATGCCGAATTCCAAACGCCTGCCCATGCCAGTTTAGATGTGTCATTATGTAAAGAACAAAAATGATTATTTTATGGTGCATCGAGCATCATGAGGTCCTGATCAATGTTGTCGTCGTATTCATCCACAACGATCCGGGATGCGGATGGGACCATTCCGTCCATTGCGTGCCCGTTATGCACCTCTTCTCTCATCATCCGCTCTTCCTCCGTCCTCCTCTTTGCCTCATGGCGCTCGATGTCAGCCAAGCCCCAGGTGGAAATGCCTTCTTGATCTTTCGATCTGTAAGGCTGGGCCATGGTCCGCAGGAAGTTCTTAGCATTTGATACAGCCATATCAGTGCTAAGATTGGTTTCGCTGTCCAACATTACCTGGTTGATCCACTTGGGGAGTTGGGGGCGCTTTCGCTCGAATCGACGATCTGCCAACACCATGACACCATAGTCGTCCTTGCCACGCAGGACACGACCCAGACACTGGGAGGCATGTCGAATCGCATCGAAAGATAAGAAGTCGTTCTCCCGGATACGATAGTTCTCACGCAAGAACTCGAGACGAGCTTTCAAAATTCGAGATTCAGTGTATTGGAAAGGAACGCCAATACACAGCACTGCACGACCGTAATGGTGATCGAAATCAATGCCCTCGGAAACCTTGCCTCGAGCGACGCAAAACAAGATCGCACCACGCCCATTGCAACACGCTGTTCGGTAGGTCTCCAGAGCTAGTGAAGATTCTTGTGCGTCGGGGGTTTCGACAAGAATTAATTTGTAGTTCCAGATTTGATCCAGAATACCCATACCTTGCCACATGCTGATGATAGATTCCATGTAGAGATAAGACGGGAAGAAAACGACAACGCCGTCGGGCGTGATGCGAGCGAACTCAGTCACTAGACTGCCGTAGTTTCGCACAACGCCAGGGTCGTTGCGAATGCCAAACGAAGATGAGACCTGTGCTTGGTCTGAGCCTCGAGTGACAATCATGGGTAAGAAGGATCGTCGAGCGAGTGTCATGCTGTATGATTTTTGCAGAACAGCGGTGAACCCCAGCATCTTGGGATACATTTCCAAGGGCGACAAAGTTCCCGAGGTAATGATTACAGAGCTGAAACGATCAAATACCGGCTTGATAGCAATGGCGGCATCCAAGCACGTGAAATGGAGGATGGGATTTGGTACAGTAGCCGCTTCGGACTCGAAGGGCTCGAGGATAAGAACGAATCCCTTGTCGTAAGTTGCGACAAGTGTTGCAAATGTGGCCACCTCTTGAAGAGGCTGATAATCTTCAATATTGACAAGTTCAAGCGTCCGTACAAGTGACGTTAGACGCTCGGCGCAAAACCTCAAAGGCTTTCGTTCAATATAGGTAAGGTCTTTTAGGTGAGTGAGGAAAGAAGGAGGTGTCTCAGATATCGTATGGGTGACTTTCATCCGAGTCTTCAAGTACTCGATAAATCTCTTCAAGAAAGAGATAAAATGCTCGGCCCGGCGGATGTTACCAGGAACAGCTTCCTTTAGTAGGTCATCTGGCAAGACCGGATTCGAGATGAATTGATCTTCGTCCCGGGCCTTCTCAGCTTCCTGCAGCCCCTCCACTAATTTTGAATACTCGTTCTTGAGTTTTTCCTCATCCGTGCTCTTCATTTCTTCGATCCTGCGTTCCAGGTTGTTTGCACCCCGAGTCGCTTTTCGTAGGGAATCCTCGCTCAGGTCTATACTGAGCGACTCGATACAGACATTGTCAATGTTGTGCGCTTCGTCAAATACCACGATGCAATCTTTCGAGAGCTCTCGGGATACTCGTTCCGCAATTTTCGGATCGAGAAGATAGTGATAGGAATAGATAATAATATTGCACCACGGCATCTAGTGCGGCTTGTCAGAAACGGGTCACTCTTTGTGCGATGCTCGCTCGATATCTTACCATACGCCGAGCGGAGAAGTAGGGACATTGTTTGTGCTCTTCTCCGTATCTCGATAATCCGTCCAGCGTGAAAACGCCCGGGGGGACGAGGTTATGTGGTTCGAGTAAGTCAAGGTTCTAGGCCTGTTAGCTCGTTCAATGTTGTATTGCAGATAGCAATGTCCCACCTCATGGTATACGCAAAGCTCAACATCTTCACCGCGCTCCTTCTTCTCCTTGACAAACCCAGCTGTCAAGCTTCTGCACCTGGCATCGACCACGGTACCACTCTTCTCTCTCTTTACCGAAGGGTGAAGACAGAGGTTCTTCCGACTGGTCAGACCAAGCGCACGAAATTCCTCCTCATGACCCAGCTCCTTAGCACGATGTTCCATCAAAGCCTTCAACTCCGCTAGTGCTTTCTCGATCTCCGACATGGTTCGGGAGCAGTAGATGAGCTTCCGGTGCTCTGGATAGTGCTGTTGGTAGGCGACGATCAACGACAATAGCGAAACCGTCTTGCCGGTTCCCGAGGGCATTTCCAGCACACAGTGACCCCCTACATCCAGGCTCTTTTTGAGATCGCACATGTAGGCATATTGTTCGGGGTAGATGCGAGGATACGGAAACAGCACCGGAAGATCACTGTGACTGGTCAGCTTGGAGACTAGATAGAATTATATAGGGGACATACTCAATGAAGAACTTCATCTTGGCTGGGCTCCGATGCAAAACGCAAGAGGGCGAGGGATCAGAAGAGAAGAGAGCTCGTTCTCATCTTTCGCGGCTCTGCCTATGCGCTTGTCCTATTTGGGACAGCGATGACACAAACTCACGTGATGGCTATCTTGGTCCCGCGGATCTTTTGGAGATGCCGATATTGAAGGTGATTGTACCTTCACACACGCGATGGAAGAGTGATACAGCGTTCAAGTCACATTCTAACCCAGAATTCACAACCAGAGCCCCTTGCTCTCTCCGAAGCCTTCCCGAATCCTCCATTTTGAGGTTCCTCCCCCACTACTTGCTTATCCCGCTGACCTCATACCCCACATGAGCAAAAAGTTCAAGTCCCAGGCCTCCAGCAGTCGCGCTGCTGCCAGTGCCTTTGGGTCACTTGGAGGCTTTCCTGTTGGTCTCTCCACCGAGGGGAAGGAGCCGTCCGCTCTCACATACATTGCAGCACCGCCAGATCTTTCTCGCATTGCGGACCAGCAACTAGTTATCGCATTCAAGAATTTACTGAAGAAAGATGACATTACACGATTGAAGGCTCTAGAGGAGCTGCGTGACCATATATCAAGAGTGGAAGAAAGGAAGGGAACTCTAGATGACGAGTTTCTAGATGCATGGGTATGTCTAGATTGCTTCTATATACAAACACCAAGTAATAACAATATCTTCCCCCAGGTCAGAATTTATCCCAGACTCTCGATTGATCTGTCTCGCCGAGTACGTCAAGTTGCCCACCCGATACAAGGTACAATTTCTGGGCTTGTTGGGAAGCGGATCGTGCCCAATTTACCCAAGGTCATCGGAGCATGGATTGCAGGAATCTACGACAATGATCGACCAGTCCACCGTGCCGCCCTTGAATCGTTCACAAATGTCTTCACAACAGAAGAAAAAAGAAACAACGTGTGGAAGATCTACCAAACCTCCATTTTGGACTTTGTAGATGATGTCATTCTTCACCAAACAGCCCTGACATTGAGTGATGAAAGGACAGTGAAGAGAGACGACGCCGAGGGGAAATATGCCCGTGTTGCGGGAGCTGCAATTTTGCTTTTCAACCGCGTACTAGGTATGTTAAGTGTGCCTACCTTGCAATACTTTCTGTCTAACAGTTCATCGCGCCTAGGCAATTCGTCTGATGAAGATTTACAGAGGAACATATCAGAAATTGAGAATCTGTTAGCCAGCAAGAACTTGTGGGCTCTCTGTTACCACGACGATCCATATGTTCGCCGGTCCATATATATCCTGCTCCGATCTGCGGTTTCCCGAGAGCCTGGATGGATCGACTGGAAGACTCTCAGTTCAGCCGTCATTGGGAAGTCTTTGTCTCTCCAGCAAATCGGATCGGCTACCGAATTGTCGGAGTCCCTCCTTTCATTATCTTCGCTGAGGCCTCAAATATGGACAGATGACTACAGTGGGAAATCATCTGCCTCGAAGAGATTGCGCCAGTACATGCAGAAAGGTTCCGAGGGTGGACATTCTAACTTTTGGTCAAATCTAGACCAATTGCTTCGAATCATCCCCCAAGAAGTACTAGCAGGTGTCGACAAGGCCACTGCTGGCCATGGGATCACTTCTACCAGTGCAATTACCCTGACTGAGGCTTTACAAGAAGGTCTAAACTCGAGAGAAGAACCGCGTTCGAATCTTGCTGTCGGATGGAAATCTTATACTCAGGTAGGAACATGGCTTGCAACATTGCTCCCCCAGGAGCAAAAATCCGAATTCATCGCGAAGAGACTGTTTCCCTTGGTGGTGCAGTATGTACGAACGGACCCAGAGCTGGCACAATGGTCACTTCCGGCCGACTTAGCCGAAGGGACTTGTGTGGATTATGTTGCCACTCTGGCTTCCGCGCAACAAGTCCAGGAACTGCAATCATTGTCTACATCCCTTTCCGATGGGCTGCTAGAAGCTGTGAAGCTATCGGCCCCGGAACAATCAAAGGACTTCCGTAGATCTCAGGACTCAATATGTGCCCAATCCAAACGGCTCTTGGATTTGCAGTCTGCTGTTCTCTCACGGGCCGCAGATACTGAGGTCGAGCCTCAAGTGTCGGAGGTCTTTCAAAGAACAAGCACTTCCCTTCTCGAAGGTTGTCTCGAAGTCCTGCGCACCCGTAATGGGAAACCATATGGAGCGGCCGCTATGGTGGCGGAGTGTGTTCGCAGCCTGCCATATATCGCCAAAGAGTCCCAGGGCCTCCAAAACTTTGTGCAAAATGATGCACCGGAGCTTTTGCTTTCACCGTCTGCTGATCGGTTGATTTCAATCATCTTAGAATGTCGGGAGTGGGTTGGATTTTCGTCCAGTTTCGAGAACGTTGTCGAGCGAGCCTTGGCCTTGGACCTAGAGCAGTCTAATGTGCATGTACTCCAAAGTCTACTTTCTGCTCTCGATTTCAACGATGCTGAGCACAAAGACAAGCTTAACTCACTTGTTGTGCGGGCTCTTGGTAAAGCTTGCCAAGGAAGCCATGCCCATTGGCCTATCATCATTGCAGTTCTTCAAAACAAAACATCACACGGCGAATTGATGGAACAGATATTCTTATCTTTGATCGAGACGTTATCTTCAGAACATAACGTCTTTAATGCCTTGCATGGGCTTTCTCATATCGGAAAGTCTGCACCATCTTCAGTTCGGGAGTTCCAAAATGGAGCACATGGATCGAAGTTAGCAGGAAAGCTACTTTTCCTCACAGAATCACCATCTGAAGAGGTAGCAAGCTTGGCAGAAGCGTTGCTGAAATCATTGAAAGAATCTGGTGTTGGCGACACGAGTGCCAAGTCAGGCATCGAAATTCTCCAACATGGGTTCAGTCATGTGGATGAAGAATCATTGTCGTGAGTACTCTCTTACCACCATCTTTTACGGAAATTGTACTAAATTCGGTTCAGGATTGAATCACTTCTTGCTATCGCAGAGGAATTGCTGCCAGGTCTTACGGCTGAAGGCGCAACCAGTACGGTGAATGATATTTTGCCCTCTCGTCGTGCATGGGAGGAGTCCTTGACCCCCTTCCTCCAACTTCCACCTCGCCCCTCCATTGCTATAACAAGTCCCTTAGGAGGCGCTGTTCACTTAATCCAGCGTGAACTATCTGACACCTTCAAGGGGCTATGGCCGACTATCCCTCGCGATTCAGAGCATCGATCTTCTGCATTCCGCCTGGCAACCTTCACTGTCGGCATTCTCTCTACTTCTAAGTTATTGAAACATATGGGCCAAGCGGACCTAGAGACTTTGTTCCATTTCTTGCCCTTGGCAATTCAACTTATAGATGACGATTTGAGCATTGAGAATTGCAACGGCATCTCAGGTCTCGAGCTGGCTGATCAGCGAGAAGAGTACATGGAGATTGTTTTCGCTGGCCGCAAGGTGGTCGGTAACTGGATTCATGACAATGAGCCAGTCAGCTTCGCACCCGAGAAGACCATTTCCTCTATGTTTGCCGAGTTCTGGGAAACCAGACTAGACGAACTAAAGGGTACGTCTCCCTTGGACTATAGGGTTGGCGAAGCCTTCGTCAAGATAATGACTGTTGCGGATTCATTGCAAAAGTCAAAATCATCGGAGGACGTTGCGAAGATCTGCAGAGAGGCTCGAACATCAAATCTCATCCGCTCGGCATCGTGGTTTGCAGTTTTGCGAAGCTCCATACTTTCAATTACCATCGGCAACAGAATCTGCAATGAGTTAGTTGCCGATTCCACTGGACTCAGGCCCCAGGATTCTTCCCAAGTTGGTAAGTGCCTGACAACACATTAGCAAATATAGGAACAATAGATACTAACCATGCGCAGGATTGCGGAAGCTGGCTCTGTTGAATATCCTATTGTCTGGGGAAGAAGATGTTGTTTCCACCATTCCGACGCAGAGACTAGTCTTCCTCGCCAAGAACTTGATTGAATGTCTCCAATCCGACTCAATGTCGCTTGGTTTGAAATCTGAAGTCATCCAGACCCTGTCTCTTGTCCTTCCAGCCCTCGGGGAAATCTATGGATCTCATTGGGAAGAAAGCATGGGCATCCTAAACTCTGTATTGCGGCAAACCAATGGAGGCGAAGAGGCTCTACCGTTACTAGTGTCATCTTTCAGACTCTTCGCACGATTGAAGTCTATCTCGGAAAGTGACAGCAATGACGACGTCCAAGATGCTTGGTCAGACCGGAAGGTCGGTCTTTACAATGCCCTAGCCTCCACCATTAGCACGTTCGGTAAGCGCTTTAGCTTTCTCTCACCCTTGATATGTCTAACGAAATATAGATTCCTCAACCACATTCCATCAACCTCGAGATGTTGCTGTTGACTTATTACGACGCCTGATTAACAGTATCCCTGTTGACAACTTGGAGGATGTCAGTGAAACGTTCCATCTTCTGACTGCGCATAGTCGAGCAGTTCAACGAACTGCTTACACAATTCTCCATCACTATATCCCCCATGCCCAGGAGAAGGTATCTTTTGAGGTCGCCTTATCCAAGACTGCGGTCAGCCTTCCTGATGAGCTCGTGTCTCTATTGCTTGAACCCCCAACAATGCAAATGGTCTCTGCTGGGTACGGAGATGACAAGATGTGGACCAGTGTGCGGGCGTACCTTCTCAGCTGGAAGGTGGTATTTGACCATTTCTCAAATGCTGTGAGTTTTGACTCTTCTATGACAGATTTAAAACAGACTTGCTAATAGTCCGATTAGTCGCTCCCTGTCCAAGAATACTACATATCGAGCATCAGAGAGAACAATATCCTCATCCCACTGCTGGAATTCACCTTTGATTTCCTTCGAAAGTCGCACGGAAAGATGATCGATGCATCCAAACTTGATATTCGATCATTTGAGCCAGATGAGTCCGAGAATGCGGAAAGGGAGACACAATGGCTCCTGGTACACTTGTACTATCTGTGCCTCAGATACTCAGCCAACATGACCAAGAATTGGTGGATTGACACCAAGAAACGCATCAAGGGTCCGGTGGAAGCCTGGTCGGAAAAATACGTGAGTGATGATCTTTGGTGTTGAGCCCCTTTGAACGAGCGACTGTAGCTAATAATGTTTCCAGATCTCCCCACTCGTCGTTGAAGATGCACTCAAAAGCGTGACCGACTGGATTGCCACTCAGGATGCAAACGAAGAGCGCGCACTGGAGGTGAAGATTTCCCCGAAGACAGGTGAAATCATAGCCAGCATTCCAGTCGACGAGGAGTCGCCTCCAGTTGCTATCTCTATCACTCTTCCATCGGCATACCCGCTTCAATCCGCGTTGGTTGTCGGTCGCAGTCGCGTGCTTGTGGACGAGAAGAAATGGAAGAGTTGGCTGCTGACGATCCAGGGAGTGATCATGTTTGCCAATGGCAACCTGGTTGACGGGTTATTGGCCTTCCGAAGAAATGTCCAAGGTGCTCTGAAGGGCCAGAGCGAGTGTGCTATCTGTTACTCTGTTATCTCAACAGACATGCAGACACCGAACAAGCGGTGTGCCACTTGCAAGAACACCTTCCACTCAGTCTGTCTGTTCCGCTGGTTCAAGAGCAGCAACCAGAGCACTTGTCCTCTTTGCCGAAACAACTTCGTGTATGTTTAGATACTTTGTTTAAGTTCACCTGTACGTAGAAAAGAGAGATGGCATGACAAACACAGGGCAGGGCCCTCGGATTCGGCCCGATAGCCGTGAAAGAAGCATCCGGATCCTATTTTCAGTATCTCAGATTCCATCAGGAATAAAAGGACCACCTAGCTACCTTTAGCACCCTGCATACTGGACTCTATAGCTGAGACCAATGAAACGAGGACGTTTTGAGCCATTCCCGATTGGGAAGTTAAACTGACTATCTTCGATGTCCATACTGAGAGCATCACTTGATAATCACAATATTACAGTTAGATCTCTATATCTATCTATGGCCCTGGAAACGGATATAGCCCTTTTTGCCAAAATGTACGTGAAGAATTATAGGCTCGCCCTAAACCAGTCAAAGTGAGAATCCTTGTTCCATACCCAGAAAGATCTGACGATTTTATTGCCTGTAATAACGCGGAGAAATGTCACATTGCCAACCCCACATCCACTAGCCTGTCAGGTTTGAGCCAGTCTAGCCTTGCTTAATCCTATACGCCGTGTGATTCAGCCTAATTGTGTGCCCAGGGGGCTGTTCCATTTCTTCACGGCTGAAACTGCCGACCTTGCTACAACGCAGATGAGGTTTCATACACAAAAAGACCATTAGGCAAAATCTCCCCTCGGTCCAAAGGAACACATTTCGTTTTTTTGCTGACCTGTTATACGGCAAAATGCAATGGTCTTCTCCAATTGACAAGGGGACATTCTGGATCTACATAAAGCAACCGTTGTCTCCTCAGTTTGAATATCAAGCCCACTTTCACACCTGGGCATAAGGCAACAATTAGCTTGCACTTTTGATTGATATTCATTGACACTATGATTTCCAACATCTTGAAGTTCTCCTTCCTTGCCGGCAGCGCCCTCGCTGTCCCGGTTGAGTCTGACATTGAGAAACGCATCGACTGCCCGAGCGTCCACATCTTTGGTGCGCGCGAGACCACCGTATCTCCCGGGTTCGGCTCATCCAGCACGGTTGTCAATGGCCTCCTCAGTGCCTACTCAGGCTCCACGGCCGAGGCGATCAGCTACCCTGCATGCGGTGGACAATCGTCCTGCGGCGGCGTGAGCTACTCGAACTCAGTTGCCCAGGGTATCGCAGCTGTCGCATCGGCTGTGAACTCCTATAACAGACAGTGTCCATCAACCAAGCTTGTTCTGGTCGGATATTCCCAGGTGAGCTATACTTCTTCAAAACAGAAGATCAACTTCTTACGATGCTTCAGGGTGGTGAAATCATGGATGCAGCCTTATGCGGCGGCGGCGTCCCAAACCAAGGCTACACCAACACTGCGGTCCAGCTATCGACATCCGCTGTGAACATGGTCAAGGCAGCCATCTTCATGGGTGATCCACTGTATGTGGCAGGATTGTCGTATAATGTTGGGACTTGTGCTGCTGGAGGCGTATGGACTTCCCTCCCCTGAACTTGGGAGCTTTGGATCTAACACTCGAGATATAGTTTGACGCACGTCCTTCTGGCTTCTCTTGCCCATCGGCCCGTAAGATCCAATCGTACTGCGACTCCCCGGATCCATACTGCTGCAACGGCAGTAACGGCGCGACGCACCAGGGCTACGGAGCTGAGTATGGCGCAAAGGCTATTGCTTTTGTCAAGAGTAAGTTGGGTTAGGTGTAGATCTAGCAGCAGCTCTCCCAATACATGTATTGGCAGGGGTGTTATGATTGGGAGAGTTGGCCTATCACTGTGGCAAATCTGTGGTAGAAAGTACATTTCTTCAGTTGTCTTCGCCGCTGAACATAAGGAAGGGTCCACTAGTTTTATAAGCATGAGGAGCTTCCACCGAAGTTGAATCTTACAACTTTCCACCTGGGCAAGGTTATGTAGTCACAGAGTCGATCAAACAAGACGTAGGGCGAGGATGCAGTTGGAATAAATTGACGAAGATATGCAATTTTGAAAATAGCTTGAAAATATCAATATTTGGAGAGACGGAGAAATATGAGATGCCCGGGCAGATAGCTACCCCACCACGGAAGAGCTGCAAGCTTCCTCCATCCCCATGGCCTCTCACATTCCCAACCTCAACACTCTCCGACGAGGCCGAGGCCGAGGTCGTGGCATAGGTCGCACAGAAGAAACTGCTTCCCCTTCTGGAAAAGACCGCATCGTTCAAGGCACAGACAATGACGCAAGCGTGTCCCGCCTCAGCGCCGTCGAGCTAGGATACCTAGAGGATGCGTACGCGGCAGCATTGACACCTCCCGGGTCGGCGACGCGGCGATTGCCAATTATCAACAGGGGTGAGCCCGATTTCTCAGAATATACTATCCCAAATGACAAGGGAGCCTTTAGCTGACTGGGACACCTCCCCGCGCACCAGGAACCTACGCCCGCACAACAGCCATCGACCAGCTCGTGGCGCGTTTCCTCGGCCCGTCCTCACCGGAAAATACACGCAAGAAACAGATCATATCTCTAGGCGCCGGTTCGGACACGCGCGTCTTCCGGCTTCTCTCTTCGCGCCAAACTCCGGACTTTGTCTACCACGAGCTCGATTTCGCCGTGAACACAACGGAGAAGATCGGCGCGATTAGATCGGCGCCTGTACTGCAGAGCGCGCTGGGGATTGACTCCTCGGAGGTTTCGTCGGAAAAGGATAGTCAAGTCACCGTGTCGGAGGCCGGAGACGCGCTCCATTCGCCCTTGTACCATATCCACCCGGTTGATCTGCGGTCGCTGCCGACATGCAGTGACCCTACTGGAGCACTGCCAGGCGTGGAAACGGAATTACCGACCTTGCTGATCTCCGAGTGCTGTTTGGTCTATCTATCGCCCGCCGAAGCGGAGCAGGTGGTTGCGTTCTTCACGCAACGCCTCTTTGGTCATGGGCGTGCAGTATCTGGACCTGGAAACGGCTTGCAGGAGGCACAGGTGAATGTCGCTCCACTCGGGTTGATTCTTTATGAGCCTATTCGGCCGAATGATGCCTTTGGTCGTACGATGGTGTCGAACCTTGCGGCCCGGGGGATCCAGCTCAAGACTCTCCCTAGGTATGCGTCGCTTGAGGCGCAGCGAGACCGCTTCCAAGATCAGGGCTTTGGGGATGGCCAGGCTGCGGCTGATATTGAGTTTATTTGGAAGCGGTGGGTTAACGAAGATGAGAAAGAAAGAGTTGCTGGGCTAGAGATGCTCGATGAGATGGAGGAGTGGGAATTGCTTGCACAGCATTATTGCATTGCCTGGGGATGGAGAGACCGCGATGATATTGCGGCTTTTGCTGGGTGGAAGGACCTAGAGGGTCAGCGAGGCGAGTAGCTTCATTTGTGAATATTTGATGTCTGATGATACAGTTCTATAACGAAAGGTCACGATGCATTACTGAAAATACAAACCAAAATTGTTTTGGGCCTCTTGGCCCTACAGAGCGAATTTACATCCCTATCTTCCACACCTTTACTCCGGTCCAAGTGCAGGCCCATCATCAGTCAGAGGAATTTGAGTATGCAATATAACGATGTGGCCGTGTCAATGCGACCTGTCATATAGTATCAGATGCACTGGGGCCCGCAAAATCCAAGCGATAGGCCGAGTGGATATTCACCATGCGAGGAACATCAACACTCCTTGCAGCAAACTCAAAAAAGACATCTTGTCTATCATGCATTGCCTTTCTCAACTTCTACTCTTAGCACCGTTGCAGCAGGATGTGCTCGAACTGATGCAAGGATACTGTTTAGGGCTACTGATAGTTATCTCACCAATAATCAAAGCTTGGAGAGTCATTTGTACGATGTACTCCGTAGCCCTGAAAGACTTGAATAATCTGCTATAATTGGCCCACGCCATCGAATATACCGACATTCGACAACTACATCACGTACTAATTCAACTCCATGCTTCTTGCATTGATATTCCTACCAATTACAGACAGGCGTTGATGATACCGGGCTTCCTCACAATGCGCACTTTACGATTAGCGCAAGTCCGGCGCGTCCTGTACATGGAATCGAATGGAGATCGTGATCAGAGTGGTCACGGCGCTGGTCCTGTTGATCTTTTGTTATGCCATCAAAAACCCCATAGTCTCCTAGGCCAAGCTTTAAGGGACATACTAGGAGGAGTCGGAACAACACGTTCTAAGGCTTCGTATCTCTTGGCCATGTGGTTCGTGCCTATCAAAGAGAAGGGGGAGTCCACTTGAAATGATCAACAAGCCCAGAACGGTGAAGGACGGTGGGTTTAATTGGGATTGACGGGTACTAAGCTAAAACGGCAGTTATTCCGCTTGGGAATATTGGCCCATTCATGTGCTTCGGTGGAGTTCTTTTCCTTTGGTATGGCATGTCCGATGTAGAGTACTCCGAGTTCACTTGAGCTGTTTTGCAATGCATCATCCATGGATTTATTGCAATGTCGCAAGTTCAAAGGTTAAAGGTTAAATGTTGAGATGTCATGTGATAAGACCCAAGCCCTGTAAGGTTCCTAAATGTTGCGCCGAGCAACGCGTTCCGTTCCTCTTCCTCCTCCACTCTCCTCCACCCTCTTCGTTTGATCTTTTTGCCGTTGAAGGAGTTCGCGGGACAACTCCACAAAAGCACAGCTCTTAGCTTATTGGCCTTACTCCCCCATGCCAAGCAGGAACCATCGGGGTAATGCCGTACATCATTGGCTGGAGGCTCTCACTGCCCCTGACACTAAGTGTCTAGTTCCATGTGGCTGTCCACTAGTGGAGTTTTGCTTCAGGGGCACAACTTTTGGGGGTCCAAGGCTTCGCCCATGATTCAAGTTTGAGTTTTAGGGGAGCAATCATGGGAATTATGGGCAATCATGGCCGAGCCGCTCATGAAAGTCGGGGCTACTTGCTCCCGAGGTCTACGCCGGAATTGCGCTCACATCATCCCAGATCTAACGCTTCTTTAGGCTAGCAGACTCGTGGACCTGAGCCGGGACCCTATGAGGCCGTGTCCCTTTTCTTGGTGCTTTCCCCGTCTCTTTCCTTCTCTCGTCTTGACCTTCATTCTCTGTGAGCACTGTGTCTGTCCTTGGCCATCGGCCGTATTTTTTTTGTCACTCGTTTGACTTAGCCATTCGCTTCATATATTCATTCGTTTATTGATATTCATCAATCTGCCAAGTCGTTTCCCCCTGCCACAATGAAGTTCCACATCACGTCCTTCCGCGCAGCGGCGCTTGTCACCCTCATTGCGAGCGCTGAAGCCGCCAAACATAGCCATGGCCACAGCCATCACCACGAGACTCGTGATGTGGCACTAGGAAAGAGGAGTGGAAAGTGCGAGTTCCCCTCCGATGCTGGCCTGGTTGAGATCACCCCGCATGAGCAAAACGCCGGTTGGGCTATGAGCCCCGATGAGCCCTGCGAACCTGGCAACTACTGCCCTTACGCTTGCCCTCCCGGTCAGGTGTCTATGCAGTGGGATCCCAAGGCGACGTCCTACTCTTACCCTATGTCCATGAGGGGTGGCCTGTACTGTGACGAGGACGGCAAAATCCAGAAACCCTTCCCCGACCGCGACTACTGTGAGTCGGCCACTGGTGTTCTCAAGGCCCACAACAAGGCTGGAAAGTCTGTCTCTTTCTGCCAGACTGTGCTGCCCGGAAACGAGGCCATGCTTATCCCCACTATGGTTGATGAGCTGGCCGATCTGGCCGTGCCTGGCATGTCCTACTGGTGCTCTACTGCTGCCCAGTACTACATTAACGCTCCTGGTGTCACTGCGGAGGAAGGCTGTATCTGGGGCACCTCTGAGAATCCCGTCGGTAACTGGTCCCCGTACACCGCTGGTGCCAACACCGACGACAATGGCGACACCTTCCTGAAGATCGGCTGGAACCCTATCTACTTGGAACCCACCACCCCCTTCCGCAATGTCAAGCCTGACTTCGGTATCGAGATTGAGTGTGAGGGTGACGGCTGCAAAGGCCTGCCCTGCAAGATCGACCCTGCTGTCAACGACGTCAACGAGATGATCGGTAAGCCCTTCGTTGGCGCTGGCGGCGCCACCGGCTGCGTTGTGACCGTCCCCAAGGGCGAGACCGCGCACATTATCGTCTTCGAGAAGGAGGGTAATGGCAGCACCTCGTCCGAGACCGTCGAGGTTTCTACCAGCACTCCTACCTCCACTAGCAGCTCTAGCTCCAGCACTAGCACCTCGACTCCCACTCCTACTCCGACCAGCACTAGCACTACTGAGACCCCCACCTCAACCTCCACCTCTACTCCTTCGGAGACTTCGACCTCGACTCCCACTTCTACGTCTACCTCCACCTCTTCTACTACGTCTTCCGTCTTGAGCGTCACCAGCCCCAGCACCCGCCTGCCCAAGTCGAGCCCGACACTAAGCTATACCTACCAGCCGCATGTCCTGACCGGTTCTGCTGAAATCCAAGCGGCCTCCTCGACCACCGCTGCCGCTGCCGCTGCCTCTACATCTTCCGCCACTGGCGTTGCTACTAGCGCCACAGTTTCCATGTTCACTCTAGCCTTCGGCGCCATTGCCGCTATGGTCGTGAACTTCTAAACCAGCTCCCACTGATTCGGCTGTATTGACTGTACAATATTGCATATATGTACGGACTGTGTACCGACACCACCTTTGGGCATCATTTCCGCATTATATCTGCCTGCGGTAATCAATTTAATTGAAACTCCGCGGGCATCTTTTGCTGTTTGATTCTTTCACATTTTTTAATTCTTCTACATAATCCCCCTTTTTATGATTCTCCACATCCCTTGGATGCCCTTTCTTGACGACGCTCAACGTTGGACTTCTTTTACTCTGCTTCATGACTTTTATATCCCTTTACTCAGCATTGCTCTGTTCTAGCTTGTTGAATATCCACTTTATTGCTTCTGGTACGCAGGGGGGTTTGTTCTTTTTTTCGGTTAGATATGACAGCTGGTTGGGGCTGAAACCAACCAGGTCTTTTTGGTCGGACATCGGGAAAATAGTGTTCGTTATTTTATTCGTCGACCGTTACCACTAGGATCTTCTAGGGTCCCAGTCAGATCCTCATAAAATATACAGAGCGCTCTCTCATCATTCATCCTTGGTTTGATTCTTCGGGTCAAGCATTACACTATCCTTAAAATACTTGATAAGTTGGATATAAACATTGAATTTGTCCTTGTTCCGGTATACGATACGCCATATACATGCATAATTACTATCAAATGCACGCATCGAATGTACATGTACCTCAGCAGAAGCCACACAATTCCTTGCCCTCAACCCATATGTAGAACCCCAATCACAAACGCCGAGCCCAAGCAATTCAAGCATTCAATTCCCTGATCTGATAGGAACAATAGGAACAATCATATCAGGTCTCCTCGCCTCAACAGCCAGCATGTTCAAATTCCGCTGCCTGGCCTCGCGCATGTAGTTTCGTTGCTCGTAGGACATGTCCTTGAACTTATTTGAGTCGTCAAGGCCGTAGAACATAGTGTACACGCTGAACCCGATGAGTCCTCCTACGATGCAGCCGGCGATGATGAGGAAGATGTAGAGGGGGTATTTGTCGGGGTTGCTCATGCTGCTGCGCTTGAGCAAGCTTGCAGCGATATTCATTGTGGATGATTGCGTGATTGTTGCCTCGATTGTGGGTGGGATGGCAGGCATCGTGGTTTGAAGAGGCTGTAGAAGATGAAGGATCTCGTTAGTTATTGGACATAAAGGGTATAGTGTGGGGCTGCATAGGCACGCACTATGGTCAAAGGAAGGTGTCAATGTCAGATTCCTCCTTGTTGGTATGTAAATGTCGATTCGAAGTAGTGTTTGTGAGGAGATTGGTTTCTAGAGATTGGAAACAGTAGACTACACTTAGTGTGCGAACTCTGTCAGCTATATAAGTAAGCATAAACTACACGCTAAAACATCACATCTACGGCTAAGCAGTGCTGAAAAGCGAAGAAATTGCTAAAATCAACCATCCAGTTGTGATATTCTTCCTAAATAGGCATGGCGGCCACAGACTCTCGCCAATGATGTCAGGAACCGAGCGGACCAATCAGCGTTGTTAAATTACTAGTGGGTCGACCAATTAAAATTGTGTTGAACTGTGCTAAATGGACTAAATGGACTAATTATATCGGCCCTGGGGATTTTGACCAGAGAGTAAGCATCTCTCTTCTCATGGACCGCTCTTCGGCCCCCAATTCCCAGGTTTGGCTCGTCCTCGCTTTTGATTCGATCATGCTGTCTGCCGTGCTTGATTGGCTCGACGGTGTCTGGTGTCTCACTCTCTGGGTCGTCGGGCCCGCATTGGATGTAGCAAATCGAGGAATGGGCGTCGCTGCAAGTCTGTTTGTTTGGATCTTACATGTCTCAGATAGCTCGGTCTCTCCGTTGCTAATCTTATTGACTCGTCAAGTGTGACTCCGAGAAGCCCCACTGTCGCTGTATGTCTATATTGTATGGTGTAGTGTGCACAGCCTTATCCATCTTTTCCTCTTCTGCAACGGCTTCAAATATGTATCTTTACGATCAGCTTCTGACTCCTATCCAGTGGTGAAATTGAGTGTCATAGCTTTCGTTCTTCTTGCGCCCAGAGCTGTCCAACATCTCGGATTTGGCTTCTGGTCTGGCAGTATTGCGGATCTATTGCGCCGAACCAGCAGAACTGGATCTAACGGTTTATTACCAAATGGTAAAACATATATAACCTTTGAAGGAGTTTGGATTATCAATTAGAGAGTACATCCATATCGGAGTCATTTTATCTACATAGATTGAATTAAGAACTCGAGAATGCAAATTTCATACGTGCAAAATAAGAAGGCGTACTTAGGTCACTCCACATAACAGATTTCCCCCGCCGGCGGGTGGGGCTTTGCTATCCCAGCTAATTTGGTTCTAAGAAAAGGTTAACGCGGCTGATATATCATATATAGTCCGTAGCAAAGAAAACTAAATCGGGACCCGGCTTCGACTGTTACCCAATAAAAGTGGAAGCGAAGAAAATCACCATATTCCCTATCCAAAGCCGCTTTAGCTGTCCTCGGGTCGTCTCAATGCTTCACACCGACTAGAGTGGCATTCAATTGGTTTCTTCTCTTTGCGAGGAGACGATAGAACTCTTTTCCAGGGCTAATATCCTTCTCTCCAAGAGTGATGAGAATTCGCGTTCCTTATATACATCCGAGAGCACAGCAAAGCGTAAGATTGATCTGAAGGGGCAAGTTTGTAGCTAAAAACACAAGCCCTTGTTTTATCGGCCGGCGGATTAAAGCGATTGAAGGGAACGGCATTGTAACTTGTTGTTTGCGGTAGCGTTGATCAAGGGTAGGTTTGAGTGAAATAGATCCACGAAGTTGTAAAAGAAGGGGGGGCGGAGGAGGAGACAGTCTCCCTTAAAGAAGTAATGTGTTTGTAAGTTCCGATTCTCATTTGATTGTCGGTCTCTAGGTACGTGTTAATTAGGATTAGTACAAGATGAAGTAGGCTCGCAATTAAACCTTGGAAGGTTCATGGGATATATGCGACTCGCATATCCATGGATCTATAAGTACATATATAGGTACATTGCATGTATGTATCAAATATTGATTATGAGGAAGAACAATATTGCTGTGATTATATGGGAAGTCGCAGTACCGTCATCGTTACAATGGTATATATTAGGTGATACAGACCTTTTTTTTGAATCTAAGCTTAGTATCGTACTTACGAACAGCTTGATTATGGAGGTAAAACTGATCGGGTTCATCTGTAATGAGATGTGATATCAATTTAGGTACTCCTGCACTTCATCGAGGTTACAGACAATTTGGACAGTCATTACGAACTCAAGTCTCGAACAATGAGGGGAAATGGACTAAAATAGCATGGAAATGTATGTATTCACTAATGAGGTAACATGCCCGCGATTTCAAAAGTTGGGAAGGCGCCAATAAATCTGGGGCAGAGTATCCATACATGGTCGGGCAGTACACAGCAGGTAGGGGAAGGGATGCTGCGAGGTTTGAGACTGTGTGTCCATTGACTAACCCGACTTTGTACAATCCTTGTTGATCTCGATTCATTCTCATTCACCTAAACAAGGCCCAGCGTCGCCTATAATTTACTTCTTGGGGATACCAGCACTTATCAAAGCATTGACAGTTCCCTGGCACCATTCTCGGCAGCGACGAAGCGGTTCCTTCGGATACAGTCATCGGGGTCCTGCGAATTGCTTTTTAGGCGCAGGTATGCTTTCGCAGGTCGGCTTAATACGAGAAAAATCAGCTGCGGCGACCTTCTCAATGACTTCATTACTTTGATAGGGCCCTGACTCTTCGGGCTTTTTGGCAGGCTTATCGTTATGAATGACCTTTGAAATATTTGATTCTTTTTCTACGCCGTCTCCCGTGTTTCTCTTCATCTTCTAGCAGAGCAGATTAACGGACACAGAGTATGAGACTGAACTTGTGAAGTTGATGCATTAAGGGAAGTTGATGTATTGAGGGAAGTTGATGTATTAAGGCACTGTCCTGATGGCCACAAAATGGCGGCGTCGGCGGGTATGCTCAGTCAGCAAATCTTGACCTGCCCAAGTTCTGGGACCGCAAATCTTATAACTTTCTTCGCCACATTCCACATTCCCTATGCCATATCCAAATGGAGATAGTATGCGATCCATGCTGGACATGTCGCAACCGCCGCATTCAATGCGACCAGTCCGGAATACCATGCGCCAAGTGCGAGAGAGCCGGCATGGAATGCTTCGACAAAAGACCTCTGAGGTGGGTCAAGGGCGTGGCGATTCGCGGAAAGCTGCAAGGCCATTCGTATGAGGGTATGGCAGATGGCACTCCTGTGCATAGTTCTAGAGTTACCAAATCTGCGCTATCGACACTGAAGAAGTCGCCTCGGGCGCTGGTCCAAGCTTCTACTGGCGGTAGAACCCTACCGATTACCTTGCAAGACCCGTCTATGTCAAACCTGGATCAAACTTCGAAATATTATATAGACTACTGTAAGATCTGCATGCAAAGCTCTAACACCGGGGTATTGACAGCTGACATCGCATTCAGATAACGAACGCATATGCAAATTGTTCATTGTATACGACAGCGCCAGAAATCCATTCCGGAGTTTGATCTCTCTCGGGTTGAATGATCCGGTCTTACAGAAGGGCATACTTGCTCTCGCGGCGCGACACCATGCCAATTCAGGCCAGTCATTCCATCAACTTCAAGCTCCGAGGTCCGCTGGTCGCATTAATGCGAATCGCGATGCTCTGCTTTTCAAACATCGAGCTATGGAGGCTCTCTCCCGGGTACTTGGCGACGGAAGAATAATCAAAAGTGACACAACCGTCGCTAGCATATTTCTTCTTATTTTCCTGGATCTCCTCGAATCCGGAAGTGAAGGTTGGAATTTCCATCTCGAGGGAGCTAAGAGTCTGATTACATCACACCGGCCGCTGCTGGAGACGCAAGCTGGAGTTAATAATGGACCTGGCCAGACGATACAGCAGCTCTGGCAGTTTATCTCCAGCCAGATTCATTTGTGAGTTATACTAAGGCCAATGGATGGTA